CTGTCTGCTTAACTTTTTAGAATACTTTTCATTACCGGAAACCAGTTTTTTTTTTTTTCACCTTGTTTTATGTTTTATCTTTGTTGTTTCCTACTACAACTCATGGACTTTAACTAATGAACTAAGTATGGCAAATACTAAATATTAAAGAAATATTTTTAAATGAATAGAAGAATCAAAAACAGAATGCTCAGAACCTCTGTCATTAAAACATTCCATATCGCTGTGCGGTGGTGGCAAGTGCCTTTAATCCCAGCACTTGGGAGGCAGAGGCAGGCAGATCTCTGTGAGTTCGAGGCCAGCCTGGTCTACAGAATGAGTTCCAGGACAGCCCAGGGTTGTTACAGAGAAAAACTCTGTTTCAAAAAACAAAACAAAACAACAACAACCATTCCATATCTGGTCATTCCAATAACATATAAGGCCATGTTTTCACTCAGTGGAACAAAGCACAAGAGGTTCCCAGGATACAGAATCACTGAGCTCAGTTCTTGTAGCTCCTTGACCTACACCGTAAGGGACTAGCTGAGATGGGTTCGGAAAGACCATACACTCTATCAGTCATGCAGCTGCTAGCATTCCAATCCAAAACTATGAGTAGAGATCAGACTCTTTATTCACTATTCTATGCAGATGGTGATGCTCCCCTGTAGCTCCAGAACTTGGAAGGAGGCAGGAGGATCAAGAGTTCAAGGTCATCCTTTGCTATTCTGTGCTACATAAACAATATCTTACTCTCTGGCTCTAGCTTTGTCACTTCCTCAAGTTTTCCTTTCTCTCTGTCTCCCTGAGGGTGATCCCCTTACCTCCTCCCCCCACCCCGCTACAATAAATCTTATGCCATTAACAAAACAAAACAACACAACAATAACAAAATCCCCACTATCTCAAGTTAACCCCTACCCCAACTCTGCAAAAGCTCTGAGTGTTGTGGTAAGTGCCTGTAATTCCAGCAGGCATGGAGACTTCAGAAAACTTCCGGTCAGCCTGGGCTATACAGCCCCATTTTCAAATAAATAAGCAAAAAAAAAAAAAAAATAGGGGCTGAGGGAGCTGGCTCAGGCAACAGTGAACTGAGGACCTGACCTGAGTCTGGATCCTCAGCACTCACTCAAGGTCAAGTGCAGCAGGCATGCCCTCAATCCCAGCTCCAGGGAGGCGGATCAGGAGGAGCCCTAGAGCTTGAGAACCGGGTTCAGCAAGGGATTTCGTTTGAAAAAAATAAAGTAGATAGTGATAGAGAAAAATACCTGTTCAACAACAGATGTATGTATAAAGCTAAGGACACGGATGGATAAGATATGGAAATCAAAAAGGAAGCACTATACTACACCAAGACAGCTGTCCTGTCAAGCAGTGCATAAAGAAAGCACATAGGGGGTTCCCCAAAGCCAAAAATGGGGCAACTTAATAACCCATAGGCTGATCAAAGTCCTGCACTGTGGCCTGCCATGTAGGCAGGGGCTATGAGCTCAGGAGGTACACTTTTGAAGTGGAAATGGACTACTGTAGGTACCCTTGAGGCAGGATCTGCGCCAGGAAGTAGAACTGTGAATAGACACTACAGTGGCAAACTGCCAAGGGGCTTATGAGAAAATATGAAATACATATATTACATAGAAATAACTGTTTACAAGATTCCATACTCTGAGAACTGTTCATTATAAAGTATAAAGTCAGGGCTGGAGAGATGGCTCAGCAGTTAAGAGCACTGGCTGCTCTTCCAGAGGTCATGAGCTCAATTCCTAGCACCCACATGACAGCTCACAACTGTCTGTAACTTCAGTTCCAGAGGATCTGATACACTCACACCAATGCATATAAAATAAAGTTAAATAAAAGTTTGTTTTTTAAAGTATAAACTCTGTATTTGTTCTCCTTATATGAATTATAAATTTTAGGGTAGTCAAATGGTCTTTTTGAATAAATGCAAACAGAGCAGCATCTTGCCATAGATTAAAATACAAACTACTGTACTGGCAGTCATACTAACAATAAAAATATCTTTTCTCTCAATTTCAAAATAAATGCTCAATTTGAAAGCAATGTTTTTGCAGATATGATGCCACACATCTCAATAGTCTCAGCATCTGGGAGGCTGAGGTCAGGTTGGGCTACAAAGACTGTTAAATCTCAGCTGGGTGATGGTGACACACACCTTTAATCCCAGCACTTGGGAGACAAAGGCAGGCCAATCTCTGAGCCTGAGGCCAGCCTGGTCTACACATCAAATTTCAGGACAGCCAAGGCTACATATAGAAACCCTGTCTGAAAAACACAAAAAACAGGTCAGCAAGGGATTTTGTTTGAAAAAATAATAAGGTAGATAGTGACAGAGAAAAATACCTGTTCAACAACAGATGTATGTATAAAGCAAACAAACAAAACAAAAAACCCAAACCAAAACAACAACAACAACAGAAATCTCTGCTTCTGGCATGAAAATCCCCTGCCTTCCTCTTCTCTAATCCTACTCCACAGAGTAGACCACTGACTATTACAGTTAGTATGGTCTTTCTAGTCTGTAAGTATTTATGGTAATGTGTTACTGCAGCAGTAGGGCCCTAAAGTACGTTTGAACTTACGGTTTTGTCTTAACAGATGAGAGGGGCTCAGAAAGTATCATCGTGCTCCTTGACCCCACATAAAGAGTATAGACTATCCTATCTGTGAGCTAAGTATGGGGGTCAAGCCCAGTATCTTGAACATGAGGTAAGTGCTCTTTCTACCAATAAGCTACAACCAGGCCCATACAGCAGCAGCTATCAAGTACCCACACCAAAGAGATAAAACTGAATCTGATTACGTATTTATTCCTTATTCCTTTTACAAGAAACATGGGAGGGAAGGTTGAGCTGCCAGATGTGGGTGCTGGGGAACCTAACTGAGGTCCTCTACAAGAGTAGTATTGAGGCCAGGCTCGGTGGCACACACCAATAATCCCAGCACTCAGGGAGGCAGAGGCAAGCCTCTGAGGGTCCAGGACAGCTAAGGCTACACAGAGAAACCCTGTCTCCAAAAAACCAAAGAGTGGTATTTGTTCTTAAATGCTAAGTCAACTCTCTAGCCCCAACAAACTAATTTTAAATAGGTCTTTTTCAAACAAGTGGAGAATCTTTAAATTTTTTGTTGTAATTTATTGTGTGTGTGCTCATGACACATGTGTACATATGGAAGTTAGAGGGCAACTTTGGGGAGTTGATTCTCTACACCGCCACGTAGGTTACAGGAGGTGAACGCAGGCTTGGTGACAAGTCTTCACCTACGGAACCATCTTGGCAGTCTAGCCCCAGAGGTTCATTACTGTAAGGTTGTACCATGGTTCCTATTCTCACTGAGTGCTCACTCTACTTAACACTCTAGAAAACACAAACAGGAAAGCAATTCATGCCCTTAGGAAGCCACTAATAGCTTGATAAGGGAGACCAAGGGTAGGCAGAAATCGTTACAATGGAACAGTGATTTAGAACACAAATCAGAAACTAACAACATATGAAGCTTCAAGACAGATCTCTTGAGTACTACGGAGCATGTCTGCAAACGTAAACTATCAGGTGACAGGGAGCTACTGAAGAAGGGTTTTCAAACCGAGGACTCAAGGAGAGAGAGCATCCCTGAAGAGCAAGGCCTCTGTGAGTGCTCAAATTCTTTGATTCTGGGCACCACTTCTGCTCTGAAGAGCCAGCATTATCAAACCCAAAAAGCTGTTATGTAGGTCTTTAAAATGCACCATCCACATTTTCTTAGGTAGAGAGTTCAATATTTAAAGAGGATAATAAAAATGATGAGACACAAACAATAGCCCTGAACAAAGTTTTTCTCTCCCAAATCGTGTCTGTTACAGTATCACTTCTGTGGTCCAATACCTTAAATATATAAACAATGTATCTGAAGAGTAAACTGTTTCAGGCTAGAGACACGGTTTAGATCACTTGTTGCTCTTTCAGAAGACCCAAGTTGGGTTCCCAGCACCCATATGGTAGCTTACATACATCTTGAACTCCAGTGCTAGGAGATCTGATGCCCACTTCTGGCCTCCTTGGGCCCTAGGCACCCACATGGCACACATACATATATGCAGAAAGAAACATATATATTATATATATATATATATATATGTTAAGTAAACTTTCTATTTAGCTTAAGAATGTGAGGTTTCCATTGTTAAAAAGAAACAAACAAAAAAAAAAGGTAGAGTGCTTACTGTGAATGAATACAATTATTTGAGAACACAATCAACTCTTGACTATCAGCAACTAAAAATCTGGCTAAGGAAAACTAAGACCAAATGGGCCTAGCTGCCTCTGATGTGGCTAAGGGACTGAGACTATGAGCATCTTGTGACCAGTAACAAATCCCACGAATTACAAATTAAGAGCACTTTTCTGTCAAGACACTGGCCAATTCCATCTCAAGTTCTTTCAACTTGAGCTCCAGTTTCTGTGTTTATATAACAAGGCCACCGGTTCCCATCTGTTCCCCCATAGGGTAGCATTTAAACTAAATAAATGCACAGCCTTAAGCGGCCCAGGAAGTGACACCGCAGATGCTTACTAACAAATTCAGTCAGTGTCAACCTTGCTGTCTCCCTTGTTCTGTTGGGTGTTGAGGCGTCTTACACCAATCCCCACTGAGCCTCTCAAAATTCTGCCAGGAAAAAAATTTAAAAAAAATCACGTTATTGCCCAAGACTCCTGAGACCTCACAGACACAGGGCCCTGAACGACGACAGCCCGAAGTCCAAACAGTCCTAGCCCTCCAGACGTTTGGTCCGCCAAGGCCTCGCCCCGACTTTGGCGCGCAGCCCCGCCCCACGAACCCCAACGCGCGGGGTGAAGGGGCGGTCCCCACCGCCCGACCTCGGCGCTCGGGAGGTGGGGGGAGGGGAGAGGCCGGGCCGAGCCCCAGCCCCCGCCCGCCGGCCTCCCCCGACCTCGGCCTGCCCCCCGGGACTACGCCTGCCGTCTGGCCGCCCGCCCCCGCGCCGCCCGGGGCCGCACCTTGAGGTGGGTGCGCAGGCCGCCGGCGCCCCCAGACTGGTCGGTGATCTCGTACGCGCCCGTCACCAGCAGGTCCTTGTGGATCTCCTCGCGGAGACACTTGCGAGAGTTCACGGGCAGGTGGAAGGAGATGGCGACGACCGAGCTGGGGCCGAGCAGGAACAGAAAGAGCAACGCAGACGTCAGAGGGCCAGGCCAGAATAATGGGCCAGACAAACCAGACATGGTGCCGGAGCCTCGTTCACCACCCGGGGCCTCTAGCGCGCCGGAACCGGGCGGGCCCACGTGACTCGCCTTTGCCCTAGCGACGCCGGCGGCGCCATTTTGGAGATTGGCTAATAGAAAAAGAATGTAAAGCGAATAATTTTTAAAAGGAAGAGAAGGGACTGTGGCATGGCCTAACCAGGGGATTAAGAGCGAGCGAGGAGTTCCCAGAGCTTTTTCGTACAAGTTTTATTTTTTGGTTGAGGGGAAACTGCTGAGCGAGCCATAGTAAGTATGGGCAGCCCAGGAAGTAATTCGAGTTTAAAGCCCCGGAAGTGGTTCATGCGAGTCTTTTTTACAGTCGGTGACACCATAGCAACCAGGCCCCAATAAGAAAGAGCCACAAGGCCTTTTCTCTGGGCCCGCCCCCACGGTTCCTTACACTAGGACTAAGTCACTGAATGAGATTCTGTGCCCTAAAGCTTACTCTGATAGCAGTTGGGACAGTGAAGCACTGGAGAGGAAAAACAGGAAAATTTTGACTCAGTTTTTTAAAATCAGAGAAGAATGTGTAGAGGTCAGCAGGTGAATGAATTGACAAGAATCTAGCAGGGTTACCTTGCCTTGCCTCAGTGAAAGAAATGGCACTTAGTCCTGATTCGACTTGATGTGCCAGGATAGGTTGTTGTTGGGCGGAGGGTAATGGGGAAAGTGGGTGGGAGGGAACCGGGAGAAGAGGGATTAGGGTTTCGATTGGAATGTAAAATGAACAAATGAATAAAAAATGAAGAAAAATAAAAATAGTGCCTACATAGTGGTATACTCCTTTAATCACAGTGCTTGGAGGAAAGACTGAAGGGCACCTCCTTGAGTTCGAGGACACCCTAGTCTACATAGTGAGTGAGCAGTGAGTTCCAGGCCTGCCAGAGCTACTTAGAAGACCTTCCTTCTCTTAGGGAGAAGGATGGCCTTGAGATTGAGGCCAACTTGGACTACACAGTGAGTTCGAAGCGAGCCTGGGGTACGTGTCTCGAAAAGGAGATACTACAACACCAAAGAATAAACAGTAGCCTGTGTGTGTAACCATTATCCACTTTAATTAAGGCCTCTTGAACATTAGGAAAAATATCCAGAAGTTGAACTGTCTGCCCTTAGTAATTTTCTTTTGTTTTGTTTTGTTTTTATAGCTTCTTTCTGTCTACCTAGTTCTTTTCCTGGAACAGAGATCTGAAAACAAAACAAGCACAAACATAATAGAGTCGTTAAACATTTTAAGATCTGGCAAATGCCATATAACATTTTATGAGGTGTCCACTCAGGACGTTCCGTTTGATTTATCCCTGCTCTAAGCTAAGATTGACAGTCTACTGAGTACATCCTGATCATTTGCCTAGGCCTTTTCCCTGCCAGTGAGGGGAATCAATATAAAGTTATTCTAGTTCGTTGTTCCTAGGGGTCTTCTGACTGTTGGCAAGAGTATTACAACCTGGAACTTACCTGTATATAAGTTTTCTTTACATTTTCATCTTTACACAATAGACTGTACATTTTTAAATGTCTTCATATATATATTTTTTTCTTTTGACCCAGGCTGGCCTGGAACTTGCAGTGATTCTCCTGTCTCTGCCTCCTAAGGGCAGGCATGCACCACCAGACACAGCCTGTTTCACATATCTTTTTGTTTTGTTTTGTTGTTTCCGAGACATGGTTTCTCTCTGTAGCCTTGGCTGTCCTGGACTTTCTTTGTGGCCCAGGCTAGCCTCGAACTCTCAGAGATTTGTCTGCCTCTGCCTCCTGGTGCTGGGATTACAAGTGCTCACCTCCACACCTGGCTATTTCACATATTTTTTTCTTTTTTTAATTAATTTATTTTTTATTTCACGTATTTTAATGATCAATGTAATCTGATATTTTCAAAAACTCTATAATTTAGCCAAACATTTTCATTTTTAGATAAGGAAACTGAGGGTCTGAGATTCTAAGAAACTTGGGTAGCGTTAAAAAGATGTTGGTGCCGCTTAGTTGGGAGGACTGCAATCTTTATTCAAGGGAACTGTGGAGACTGACATATGTCACAGTGCTATAATGGAATTGTACAGTAGGAGAGAGACTGTCAACTCATAATACAAAAGAAAGTAGGAAATTCTGGGGCAAGGGGACTTAGTCACAAGGTAGAAAACCAACAGGAAATATTTGGATTAAGGGGAATTTCTGGTCAAACTGACTTAGCAGCATTCTTGCTCTCAGTGAACAATGCCTGGGCGTAAATCCCAAAAGGGCTTAATTGAGAAATAGTTCAGAATAGCCTAAATTTAGGATCTGTCAATATTCAGAGTCCCAGGGGCTGGTGACAGAGCCAAGGGAAACCTACCAACTGCCAAGCTTGAAAATCTGAGTTGTTCTTCGGATTCTGCCCTTCCACACAGATAAATGAATAAGTGACTGTAAAAGTACAACACAATCCCACAGTTTTGAAAGTGACAGAGGGCCAGGTGAGGAGGTGGGCACCTTTAGCCCCAGCACTCACGAGGCAGAGGCAGGCGGATCTCTGTGAATTCAACAGCAATCTGGTCTGCATGTTGAGTTCCGGGACAGCCAGTTTGTCAGGTGGAGCTCCTGTGTCAGGAGAAGAAAACGTGACAAAGGTCAGAGCCTTCTTCAGGAAGACACTGTAATATTTTACAGATGGAGGAACTGAGGCAGAGAAATTGAGTTACTTTCTGTACCACAGCCCTTGAATCCTTTCTTGACCTGTGCTCTCTCTTACTCCCTTTCTGGCTCTGCCTTCTATAATTTATCTCCCCTCTTAGCGCTTACCGTAAATACGGTCTCCATTTTACCTACTTGTCTGCCTCCCCAGCATGATGTCTTTTTTTTTGTAATTGGAAGGATTTTTATCTAGTTTCTTTATTTCTCTCTCTCTCTCTCTCTCTCTCTCTCTCTCTCACTCTCTCTCCTCGGTTTTTTGAGACAAGGTTTCTCTGTGTAGCCTTGCCTATCCTGGATGTAAACTAGGCTGGTCTCAAACTCATAGAGATCTGCCTGCCCCTGCCTCCCTGAGTACTGGGATTAATGGTGTGCACCATGCCAGGCTTGCTTTCCCTCCTTAATTTAAAATAACGCTTGCCTCTCAGGCATGATAAATACCGGCTCCATGAAAGCAAGACTGGCTCTTCGGCCCTGGTGGAAGGCCTAACAGCCAATTCCTTCCTTTGTTCTTTAGCTATTTTCACACATACTTATTGAATAGTGATGTATCTAAACTGTAATTCTAACTGCAATTTCACCAACATTATGCAAATATTTTGCTTCTGTTTCTTTGGGACAGGGTCTCCATCTATTACCCAGGTGGTGAGTTCTCAATTCTGCTTCAGCCTCCAGCATGTTCCACCACACCTGGCTATTTTTTTCCCTGTTGGAAAATGTGTCCTTAGAAGGACACAGACTAACAACAATAACAAAATCTTGGCTCTATACTGTGGGGCTGGAGGGCAGGAAGCAGAGCTGTAGGGAACCAAAATGTTTACACTCTGCACCTGAATTGAAGACTGTACCATCTTACAGCTGCCTAAGAGCTAAGTGTCGTTTTGAACTGGTGATGGAATAGAGTGTGCCTCTTCCTGACCAGCAGTCCTGGGCCATCATGGCTGTCATCCTGAAACTTGACCAACCAGATTCTCCTAAAATTCCTGAGCTACAAACACCTTTGGGGTTAAAGAAACATCTAGTCTATTCCTAAGCCATATGGTTTTTTTTTTTTTTTTTAACTTTTCTTTTATACAAGAAAGAACATGCCTAAAACGCACCTCACTCAGACATTGAATCAGAAGCCCTTATTAACATTTGACATCTGTGGGCTGGGCATGGTGGCAAATGCCTTTACTCCCAGCACTTGGGCAGCGGTGGCAGGTGGGTCTCTGTGACTTTGAGGCCAGCCTAATCTACATGGTAAGTTCTAGGCCAGACAGAATTGTATAGTTTTTTGTTTTTGTTTTTTTAAATGGCATTAGGAGGGCTGGAGAGATGGCTCAGCAGTTAAGAGCACTGAGGTTCTTCCAGAGGATACAGGTTCAATTCCCAGCACCCACAACTCTTTGTAGCTCCAAGATCTGACCCCCACATACATGTTGACAAAACATCAATGCACTAAAAATAAATTATTTTTTAAAATGGCATTAATAACAAATTTGTTGGGTGATTCTACATTTGGGGAGCGCTTTGCGCCTCTCAGCCCACCCACTTTAACCAGCTAACGTTCCAGTTAACTTGAGTTTTCTGGACACCAATCTGCAAGGACCCTTGGCTCCCATTCATGGGTAAAGTCCTACACACAATGTGTGTTTCCATAGCAAACACAAGCTAGTTTCTGTGGAGATGCAAAAGACTCCCTTGGAACACAGTTTGGCAGTTTCTGCCATGTGTATAGTCTCTGACATAGAAACCGATTCCAAGGATTCCATCAACGAGTCCACTAAATGCTGGAGCCCTTGGGATCTGGCCCTGGAACATTTGTGCTGCTTTCTAGGTGATGTCATACAGTCTCCTGACTTGAAATGCATCCACAGACTGATAACTCTCAGACATGGATCTCCAGCCCTGCCCTCTGCCCTCTGCTGCAGAGTCTAGATCCACCGCCCGGCTCAAGAACTCCCGCTTACATGAGTAACGCTTGATTTCCCCTCTCCTTTGCCTCTCAAACCTACTTCCTCCTCATCCCACCCCCGCAAACAGCACCACCTTCTACCCAGTGCCTGAAACTATCCCTGCTTCCTCATCCATCCTCTCCACACACAGGCAGCTCATCAGCAAATCCTATCCAGTTCTGTGTCCTAAATAGATAATAATCAGTTTCTCCTCTCTAAGCCAGAGGCCACAAACTACTGCTCAGACAGGCAGATCCAATCAGGCATGGGACCTTCTGTTTCTGTATTGCCTAAGAGCTAAGAATGTGGGGTTTTTTTTTTTCTTTCCTTTTTTACAGTTTTAGAGGGTTGTTAAAGAAGGAGGAAGAACAGAATGAGTGGCAGAGAACTTATGTGACCTACAAAACCTGAAATTTTACTATCTGATCTTTAT